GGGAGTCTCTTGCGAGCCTTTCGATCCCAACACTGAAGATCTCCAGAACGACAGAATCACTATTGAATGGACCAATGCCCCAGATGGAGCAGCCAAGCAATTCCGTCGTGAATGGTTCCAAGGAGATGGAATGGTCAGAAGAAAGAACTTGCCAATCGAGTACAACCTTTAAGCTCTGAAGCAATAAATATGAAAATAAATATGTATATTCTCATACTTTTCTTTGTCTATTGGTTCTCAATTGAAAACATATGAATCTGATGACCCTCAACAAGAACACAAATGATCATGAAAGCTTTAATCAATTGAGCAAAATTACTTGTGAATATAAAAATGAAAACAACGAAGATATAGATATATTAAGAACAATTCTGAGATAGAAAGCATCGAAAAAGAAAAATAGAAAAAGCATACAAGGACCTCGTACAACACTAGTTATTGATTGAAAAAAAAAGAAAACAAAATAAATTTGAAAACAATTAAAAGAAATGCAGAAAGTTGATAAAGAGCATGACTAGATTATAATATAATATAAATTTCATCATCTATAACTATACATTATGCAAACGATATTATTTTTCTTGCTCTAATGATTCTATCAAAGTTTTTTTTTTCAAAAATTTTTTGAGTTTAGCAAGTTCACAGATATTTACAACAAATTTTGAACTGGATATATATATAATCTATACTCATGAACGTTTCTTAGAAGAGGGCAGCAGATATAAGAAATATTCAAGAATACAGAAATGTAATCACAGTCCTCTCATTTGCCTATCAATTAGAATCAGTTCAGTCAGTCAACTCTTAGAAGGGGCAGCAATGAAAGAGTTGATGAAGAATGATTTTTGAAAGTTATATGAATGATTAGGGGCAGCAATATCATTCATATACCTTATACATTGATGGCTAATAAGTTTTTCAAAAAAGTTGTGAAAAGAAAAATAATGAAAATCTCTTTGAAGAAGTCGTCGCATGGAAAATAATGTTGGAAGTAATATGAAGATCCAATTAAGGTTATGATGCCTAGTAAGCTTATCGACCTGAAAAATGAAAATATTCGTTGAAGTTGGTTAGTCAAAGGTACAGGGAAAGGGGCTGATTGAAAGCTACGTCATCATGCTCTCTCTTGTTTCTCAAAAGTAAATGAACGCAGCTTTGTCATGATAGATTGACATGTTATATTCAAAAAGGTCATGTTTCCTATATTCAGGAAGATAGTGAATGTTTTTTTTTACTTTAATAGAACTGTAAGATCATTCATTGAAAGATGGAGGATTTTCAATTTGTTGGCAATACGCTATCGCGATTGCAACAACGTGCAAGGTGCTTCACGGCAAAACATGCGAAAACATATTTTTGGTACTGGTACTTATATCATATTTTTTTCATTTATATTTTTACATTATTTCTCCTGGCTTTAAAACATACTGAGAGTCAATTTGGCTTGACATTGAGCAGCTCCTTTAGGATTTCGGATAACACATGTATAATCACCACTACTAGCTTGACTAACACGAGCCAATTCAAGAACAGCTTGATTACCATTCTTCGAGATCTGAAAATATATTTTCCATTAGGAATTTATGTTCAACTGGTTTGAGAATATTCAAAACTTGTTCTAAATAACAAAATCTTCATTTACCTTAGTATCACGACCAGCGTAAATTTGTCTTCCGTTATGTTGCCATTGAATGGTTGGCTCTGGATCTCCATCTACTTCACACACAAATTTAACAGTATGACCTTGAACATGAATCAATTTAAATTCCGAAATTTATCTTATTGTATACCTTGGCGAGCGGAAATGTCAGTTAGCTTTGCAACGAAATGTGGAGCATCAGCCGCTGGCTTATCAGAAGTCTTGCTTGCACCTCCGGTGGCAGTCTTGTTGATTCTTCCTGCCTTGGCTGAAAAACAATACACTAAAGATGTTTTTATTATTGAACCATACGTGTTAAAACCAGGTTGGCTACAGAGGAGGCTTTTCCGGCTGGATTGCTGGCTTCAACCTTATACTCAGCGACGTCTTCTTGACGAGCACCAGAAATCTTGAGAGTAGCTTCTCCGTTAGTCTGGGATACCTAATGAGCAAATGAAGTATTAAGTTAATGTTCATCGATACAAACCTGATAAGCTGAGCTCTTCTTAATTGGCTCATTATTTCTGTACCATCTGATAGTTGGTTCAGGGTATCCTGAGAATTTGGCCGAGAAAGCAGCGGCTGCTCCTTCATCAATCACGATGGGTTGGATTTGTGAAGTGAATCTTGGAGCTTCGTATCTTGGGCCTTGTTCAGCTCCTTTTCCAGTTTTCGATAAATTAATGTTGAGGCGAGCTTTGCATCGAGCTTCTCCAGCTGTATTCTTAGATACGCACTCATAAATTCCCGAGTCTTGAGGTAGAGTTTGTTGGAGTGTCAATTTGTATGTTCCGTTTCCATCATCAGTGGCCACGAAACGACCGTCATTAGGTAATGGCTGTCCATCCTGTAAAACAAAATGCAATGCTGAACTATATGTATGAATAGACAAACCTTGAACCAGTTGATTGTTGGCTTTGGATCACCGCTGATCGAGCATACAAACTCTGCTAATTCGTTTTGATTTATTCTCAAATCGTTGAGCTTGTTTTTGAAATCTGGAGCAGATCCCTTATCGATAGCGGCAGAGACAGTGAGAGAAGCCATAGTTTCTACTGTTCCAGCGACGTTCTCGAGACGGCATGTGTACTCGCCACTATGAGTATTCTCAACACGTCCGATAGAGAGAGTAGAACCAGTGTTTGTTGTAGTAATCTGAATGGAAACCATAAGAGAATAACAGCTACCACAACTATACCTGAGTTCGGAAAGTGCTCTTAATCTCTTTTCCATCCTTCAACCATGTGACCTTGATAGGTAATGCTCCATCAAATCCAACGAAGAATCTAAAGCATTGAGAATAAGAGATATCCAATAGTTTTGATATTACTTCGCTGGCTTTCCGAGTTCTCCTTGAATAGGTTTCAGTTGTTGTGAAACAGTTGGTGGAGCTTGTTTTGATTGTCCAATCTTGGTAGGTTGTGGCTGAAAAAACAGAGTTGAGATTCATTCAGGTGAGATCAGGTATAACACAGAAGATTAGGAAAAACACACAACAAAACAAAACATGCCCGTATTATGTGAAATCCGATGGTTTTTTCACGAGCTCTAGGAGAATACTGGTAATGCATTCGTTGCACTTGAGATTCAGAAGAAGAATCCACTGTTAGGTAATCCATAGAATAGTTACTTTGTTCTTCATAATGATGCTCATCACGATGTTCTCGATAAGTTTGATAAACAATATGATGCTATAAGTAAGAACATATCAAACACGCACACACCATATCAAATTGTGTTAAGTATTACGTTCATGCAATAGGATAAAGCCTGTGTCATTGAGACAATCATCTTCATGGTTACAGCAGTTGTAGATGTGTTAGATGAAAAATAAATGAAAAACTCTATAAATTATATGAAAAGATAGTCAGACAGATCATCGAAGACATCACAGTAACATCCATATTCACCTTGTTGCTGATTGTGGTTGTTTCGATTTCTGGTTTGACTACAGGTGGTGTATCCTTCAGAGTTTTACTTTCAACCTTTACTGCATCAAAGGCTTCAACCTTCTTGGGAGCGAATTTAGTCTGAAGAGGTGAGTTGATGAAGGTACAGGTTATATGCTTATATCAGTTTTGATTTGTGCTTTTTGTTTGGCGAGGGATAGGGTTTGTTCTCGTTAAGCATTGATAACGCTCAAAACATACCTTGAGTTGAACCTGATCTTTGTGTGGTTTCACATCATCTTTTTCTTTTTCTGGTCCTTGAGACACAGGCTTGATCTTGGCTTTGTCATCCGCGATCTTGACATGTTCACCAGCATTAACTTGTTCTACTCTAGTAGGCTTGGCAGTCTTGAGCTTAATTTGGTCACGAGCAGGAACTTCAACCTCTTTAGGTGGAGAAGGAAGTTTCTTGAATCTGCAAAACATATAAAGTGCCTGAACTTCTATGGAAAAAAATTACCTTTGTTCAACATTTCCGCCCAACTTAGCACCTCCATCAGCCCACTTGGGCTTCTCCCACTTAGGTTTATCTTTCTCAGCTGATTGAGAGGCTTTGAGGCTGACCTGAATTTAAACATAGAAAATGGTCATTTGATTTGGTAGTTTACTTTTTCCATTTCTTCAACAGGTGGTTCGTACTTAGTAGTTTTACCAGCCTTAAGCTGTATAGCTTCAAGTTCAAGTCCCTTGAACTGAGGCTTGCTTGTCTCAACCTGAAATCACAGTTTCTCGAACGTAACGACCTAACTACTTACATAAGATAACTGTTCATAGAATTGATCATCTCTAGGCTTAGTGAACTTTTGAAGAAGTTCTTCAGTTTCCATTGGCTCAATGGGTGATTTGGCTCTGAATTTTTAACTTATTAAGAGTTTCTCAAGATTGAACGAACCTCTCAACATGCATGAGTTTCATAGCATTGGGTTTAGGAGCAGCATCGAATGCTTCGCCCAAAGTTCCAAGAGTCTCCTTCTGCCAACGATGCTGACGTTCCATAAGCTCGTCAGATCCTTTATGCTGAGTAGGACGAAGTTTGGTTTGACGGAAGTCGTTCTTTTGATAGATATCCAAGGTACAGCTAGACAAAGTTTCGCCTTCTGTGTTTTTGGCAATAGCGACGACTTCTCCAGCATCAGAGATGCGACAGTTGGAAATAGTCAAATAGTGAAGACCGTCATAAGTCAGCTTATAGCGATGACCATGAAGAGCCTGATTTCCATTGATGTACCAAGTGACTTTAGCCCTTGGGTTTCCGATGACCGCACATTCGAAACGTGCAGGTTCGTTCTCAGTAACCTGAAAGAATCAATAAGCAATAATTAGGATTTCTTCAATAAAAACCTGTAAGTTTCGTGGACGGATAGTGAACTGCGGTTTCTGCTTCTGACGGACTTGGTGTTCTTGTCCTGGTTGTGCAGACCAGTGAAGCTTCTTGCTATCTTTCTTCACCGAGTTAACAAGCATGCCTTGTGGCATCTGGCTTTCGGTAATGACATGTGAAGCTCCTTGGCAAGCAAGTTTAGCAGCAATCATGGCTTGACCTATAAGAACACTGTTTTAGAACAGGCAGTTGACAAAAACTCAAAACCATGTCTGTTGGTGGCGACACAATGATACTCGCCGGTATCATCAGGTAAGGCATACAAGAGATCCAAACAAGCAAATCCAAAGTCAAGAGTGCTTCTGAATCTGTGTCCAAGCAATACTGGTTTCTTATCTTTGAACCATTCGATCTTCAAGTAAGGATCGTTGATAGGAGCAACTTGGGTTTCGAAACGACAGAATTGTCCTTCCATAACTCCAATGTTCTGCATTGGAACCTTAAACTCTGGTGCTCTGAAAATAATGGTTCATTTAATCATATTTTCAACCTTTTCTTACTTTTGCTCATTAGCATCATAAACATCGGCTGATTGAAGTTGAAGAGGAGCAGTTGAATGTTGACGGAAGTGAGACTCTAGGTTCTCAAGTTTGCTTCCACCTTGCGAAGTGTAGTCGAGGGAAGGACGAGAAAGAACAGTGATATGTGATTTTGTTCGTGCTTCTCCTTTAGCATTTACTGCTACTAATTCGTAGTCTCCATTATCTTCTGGATAAGCATACAGAATATCCAAAGAAACGAATCCAAATTCGAATGTTGGCTTGAATCTGAAAGAAATATTTTTTAAAAATGAAATAAGATTAGAACTTTCTTCTCGTTTACAAGTTTTCGAAAATATATAATATGCGAGAATTCACTAATACTAACCTGCTAGCTTCTGGAAGTGGAGCTCCATTTCGCAACCACATTACCTTAAGTTGAGGATCATTGATTGGTCCGACACGGCATTCGAGATGCACAGAATCTCCTTCCTGAAAATAATCATGGTTACTTGGTACGCTCTATAATTTTATAGCTACCAATGTTCCATCGATGTTCTCCACTAATGGCTGGATGATTGTTGGAGCTTCAGTGAAGACAGTTGATTCTACAGTGATAGAGGCGCTTGTTTCAGCTGAGCCCTTAGAGTTTGTAGCTACACACTTGTATTCTCCACTATCAGCAGTGATTAGGTGCTTGATAAGTAGGGTAGCTACTCCAAATTCGTTTGTGCAGGAAATTCGGTTGGAGTATGGAATTGGATGACCGTTGTGGAGCCATTCTACACGTAGAGTTGGATCTCCAATAGGATCTAACACGCAAACAAATGCTGTAGCATCAGCTTCATTCATTGTTCCCATATCAGTGAGTGGTTGGCTGAAGCTTGGAGCAGGATGGTCAATAGCTGGCAAGTTAAGTTCTTCCTTAGGACGATGAATCCAATCTTCCAATTCGTTGATACGTTCCTTGCGCTCTCCAGTAGGTGTTTGCCATTCGTAGCTCACACCACTTGTTCCGACAACCTTTACATCAGTAGAGACTTGATCCGAGCCCTTATCATTAGTTGCTCGGCAAGTCCATTTACCAGTGTCTTGTGGTTCTGCAGGAGAAATTTCCAGGACAACGAAACCGAAGTCGTGGATCATCTTCATTCTATTTGAATGCTTAACTGGATTGTCGTTCAAGAACCATTCAATCTTCAGACGAGGATCAGCAACAGGAGTTACTTGAGCTTCAAGGTGAATAGGTTGTCCTTCAGTGAGTTCTGGTGGTGTGGCTATTTGTGAAGTAAATTTAGGTGGTCCGTGATCAACAGGGGCCTCATCTGGAGCCAGGGCTCTTGGTGCTTCAAGCTCACGAATACGATCACCAGCTCCTGCCATGCGTTGAGGAAGCTGAGAAGAACTGATGATAGTATCTTTCGGAGAACAGTTGATGCGAGTGCTAGTAACAGCTTCACCAACTCTATTGATAGCGCGGCAAGTGTATTCTCCACTATCTTCGGGATAGACAGGCGAAATTTCAAGAACACATATTCCGAAATCGTTGATTGCTTTAACCCTACTTCCGGTCTTCAGTGGGCGTCCATCCAGATACCATTGAATTTGAAGCTTGTTGTCATTTATAGGCTCATATCTTGCTGAGAAATGAACACGTTCGCTCTCAGCACAATCAACAGGAGCAGATAAAGGCTCGATAAATACAGGTAACTTCTCTTCAGTTTCTTCAATGTGCTCTTCTGGGCGACGGTGAAGGTTAGCTTCAAGTTGCTCAACCGCTTGAGCTTTCTGTTCGTTTTGAGGGTGGAGGATCAATCCACTGCTTGGAGCTACTTCTATTTTTGCTGAACTGGTTGCCTCACCAGCATCATTGTAAACTCTGATAGTGTACTCTCCACTGTCATGAGCTAACAAATGAAGGATATCAAGAACAGCAAATCCAAAGTCGGATACTTGGCGATAACGGTTAGAATGTCCTAACGGTTGTCCGTTTCGGAGCCATTCTACCTTTAACCTTGAATCATCTGCAGGTGTGTATTGAGCCATGAGATGAGCGGCTCCTTGTTCTTCTACAGCACCTTGCACAGCAAGAGCTTGAACAATTTGAGGTGCTGAGTAAACAGTTGCAGCAGCTTCAGGGGCAACTGGCTTAGCTGATTCGATTTCTCGAATACGATCAAGGGATTGAGGTTGGAGAGAATCATAGGCAATGTTTTCCCGACCTTGAATCTGGAGCTGAGTGGTTGCTTCTGCTTGTCCAGCTGCATTTTTAGCGATACATTTCCATTCTCCCGAATCGCGAGTTTCAGTTTGGTTAATATCCAAAATGATCCATCCGAAATCGTTGATCATCTTTACACGGGAAGATGCAGACACTGGTGAACCATTGAGAAGCCATTGAATTTCCATAGTATTATCATCAACTGGTTCAATGGTAGCTTCGAAATGTGCAGGTTGACCTTCGAAAAGATTTCCTGGGGAAACAATAGGCTGAATGAAACGAGGTGGTCCTTTAGGAGCTGGATCAACTTCCTCGAGTTGAGGCTTAGGAGCTTCAAGTTCTTGGATGCGCTTCCATGATTCTTCATGCTGAGTATTTCCCAAAATAGAATCCTTTGCATGGCATTTCAAGGTTGCAGATGTTACAGCTTCTCCGGCTTCATTAACTACACGAAGTTGATAGATGCCTTCATCTTCTGGATAAGTATAGGCAATATCTAACATGCAGATTCCAAAATCTTGACTGATTGCATACTTTGAGCCATTTCCGAGAGGCTGTCCGTTTCTAAGCCATTGTACCAAAAGCTTTGGATCGTTGATGGGTGTAACTTGTGCTTCGAAGTGTACATGATCTCCTTCATTACACTCTTGATCAGAAATCTGAGCAACGATGGCTGGTGTTTCATACACTGCTGGAAGCTCGTCAGGAGTTTTTTGACGTGGAGCTTCAAGTTCTTGAATTCTTCTCCAGGATTCTTCATGGCGAGTACTGCTGTGAACTGGTCCAGAGCCTTCAACTTTAATGGAAGCAGTACTAAGTGCTTCTCCCTCTTCGTTGGAAATTGTAAGAGTGTAAATTCCGTTATGATCTTCGTTCACAGAAAGGATATCCAGTGTTGCCCAACCCAATTCATGTCTAGTTTGAACAAGTTGCGAAGCTCCAAGTTTTTGTCCATTCTTCTGCCATGATACCTTTAGCTTGGGATCTCTAGCTGGTTGGAATGTTGCTTCCAAATGAACTGGTGTTCCCTCAGGAGCATTATCAACAGACTCCAGCTGGGTGAGGAACACAGGTTTCTCGCGTTGGATAACCTCTTCAATTTCTTCAACTTGTTTGGGAGCTTCAAGCTCTTGAATACGTTGCCATGAAACAGGATGCTGAGAATCGGATAGAATTCGTTCGTATCCTTGAATTTTGACACTAGCGCTAGTAACAGCCTCTCCCAATAAATTGTAGGCTCGGCAGGTGTATACTCCAGAATCATGAGGAAGCACATGAACAATGGTTAGAATAACGTTGCCGAACTCATACTCTTGACGGAAGCGGTTAGCATTCATCAGAGGCTGGCCATTGAAGAGCCATTCGATTCTGAGATTTGGATCTCCAGATGGCTCAACTAAACCATGAAGCTCAACAGATTCTCCTTCACCTACATTGTCGAAGTTTTGGAATCCTTGGATCCATTGTGGTTTTGTGAACTCTCGTTCTGGAGCTTCCAAACGAGCATACTTATCGATGGCTTCTATTTCTCGGATTTTCGCCAAAGAGTTAGGATGAGTTGAATCAGAAATTATTCCCTCGCTTCCTTGAACATTGATACTGGCGCTAGAAACAGCTACTCCTGCTTTGTTGGAAGCCTTGCAAGAATAAACTCCAGTGTGACGAGCATGAACTGGAGCGATTCTCAGACTGACGCAACCAAAGTCGTTATTGGTTGCAATCCAGTTCGATTCGCAAAGTGGAGCATCATTGAAGAACCATTGTACATACAATGATGGATCGTTCACAGGTATCAAACGAGCCTCCAGAAGCGCAAAGCTTCCTTCAGGAACATCATCGATACTTTGCAGAGACTGGATAAATGTTGGCTTATCATATACGGGAGCGTCTGCTTCTGGATTAGCTGCTCTAGGAGCTTCCAGCTCTTGAATACGTTGCCATGATGAAGCATGTTGAGTATCTCCAAGAATAACTCCGCGTGTTGTACAAGAAAGTTTTCCACTTGTACGATCTTCTCCTTCGCTGTTCTTGACGACCACAGAGTATTCACCATTATCCTGAATCAACATTTTTCATTAGAAATAATGAATAGCCACTAACCTCTCCGAGAACATATTGAAGGTCTAGGGTTACCAGACCGAAGTCATTTCTCAATATTTTTCGGCTGGAAGCAGCCAATGGTTTTCCATTGAAGAACCATTGGACAACAGTATTTGGATCAGAGAAAGGAACGAATTGAGCTTCGAAATGTGTTGGTTGGCCTTCGACTACATTATCAGCGCTATTCAATGGACGAACGAATTTAGGTGGACCATGCTTAATGTCAGGAGCTGCGTCACCAGCGGCGCGTGGAGCCTAGATACATTGCTTTGAATATAGAATGAAGTTTTAGACTCACCTCAAGCTGTTGAATCTTCTGCCAAGATTGCTCATGCTGAGTATCATTGATGATAGAAGCGTTGGCTCGTACAGATAAAGTAGCTGAGATTTCAGTTTGACCCTAAGAAGAAGCTTCAGTTATTTAAGTTTTTAAATTTAACATTTCACCTTATCATTAGAAGCAACAACTGCGTAAGTTCCTGCATCTTCGGGGACAGTATGGGCAATATCTAGAGCAATATAACCGAAATCTGATGTTAACTTGAAGCGATTGCTGCTATGTAATGGTTGACCATCCTTAAGCCATTGAATGCGCATTCTTGGATCTTCAACAGGTGTAAGACGAGTTTGGAAGTGAGCAGGTTGGAATTCAATTCTTTCCAACGAATCCATTTTCTCCACAAACTGAGGAGCAGCGTGCTCTAGATCAGGAACTTCAGCAGCTCCTGGCTTGGGTGCTTCAAGTTCTTGGATTTTCTGCCAACTGGCAGGATGCTGAGAATCAGTGTAGATGACTCCACGAGGAAGAATTGTGAAGTTAGTAACAGTTTGGGCTTCCCCAAGAGCATTACGAGCAACACATTTCCATTCTCCAGTATCCTATAATCAATAGCACTTCAATTATTATATTTAATGATCAAAAGAACCTGTCCAAAAGCGTACAGTATATCCAAAGACACATAGCCAAAGTCATGAGTTGTTCGGAATCTGTGTCCGTTAGCCAGAGGGGCACCATTATGATACCATTGAACAGTGAGCTGATTGTCGTTGGTAGGTTCAACTTGGCATTCCAAATGAATAGGCGCACCCTCAGGAATTTCACCAAGGGATGAAGCCAAAGGAGTGACAAATTTGGGTGGTACTTTCTCAGCCTCTTCATAAAGTTTTTCAAGAGGACGTCTGTTTTCGATTTCTTGTACACGGTTCCATGATTGCTCATGCTGTGTTCCAAGAAGAAGAGATTCAGTTGGTTGGCATTTGATAGTGCACGTAGTCACAGCTTCACCAAAAGCGGAAACAGCCTAAACCAGTCAGAATATAATCAAATAGCACCTTACACCATACCTTGCAAGAATAAACACCAGAATCCTCTGCATAACAAGCTAAAAGGTCCAAATTGACGTAATCGAAGTTACGAGCGGGCATGAATCTTGAAGCCTCTGGTAGAGGATTACCATTTTTCGTCCAAATGACCTGTATTTAAATTTAAAAACCAATTAATTTAGTTTGTATTCACCTTGAGGGTTGGGTCGTTGACGGGAATAAGTCGGCATTCCAATCTGATAGATTCGCCTTCAGTAGCACTGTCAACGTTCTGTATGAGAAATTAGCTTATTTTTAATCGTTTTCTTAATGCTTACCTTAAGAGGCTCAGTGAAAGTTGGTGGAGGGAAAGTGAGCTCAGGTGTAGCTTCACGCTCAACTTCACGGTTTTCAATTTCTTGAATCTTGACCCATGACTGCTCGTGTTGAGTGTCAAGGTAAAGGTTTCTACGAGCCCGACATTCCAGTTTGAAACTAGTTTCAGCCGTTCCAGCACGATTAGTAGCTCTACAAATGTAGACTCCACTATCCTCAGGATGAATGTGAAGGAACTCCAATCCAACATATCCAAAGTCATGAATTGTTCTAATGCGAGATCCAAACATCAGTGGTCTGGATTCACAGAACCATTCAATCTGAAATATTTTTTACTTCAGCTTTGAAAGGTAGGGTTGTATTACAACAAGAGATGGATCGTTGATTGGTTGAACGACACAATCCATATGAACGCTTTGTCCCTCTTTGAGAACTTCGGTAGGGCCGGTAAGTTGTTGAGTAAAGATTGGTGGCTCAGGTGGTGCATCATCGTCTAAAATGGTAATTTTAGTAACATAAAAATGAATGCACCATACCACTTGGCTTAGCTGGTTGAAGTTGTTCCATTTCTCTAATACGTTTAAGAGATTCAGGATGAGCAGTATCACTCAAAATTGTCTTCAGACGCTCGACGTCAAACACAGTAGATGTTTCCGCACGACCTGCAGGTAGGGTTAGGTTAATTAATAGCAGTATGTAGAAAATTACCAGAAGCATTAGATACGACCAGTGTGTAAGTTCCAGCATCCTCAGCTATGACGTAATCAATATCAAGAGATACAAATCCGAAATCGTTGAGAATACGATAACGAGAAGATGCTTTCAATGGGTTTCCATTGTAGAGCCATTCGTACTAAAAATTAAAACATTTTTCAATACTTTAAGCAAAATCGTAGAAAAAAATAGAAATTCAATTGTATAATTCAATAGAACTGTTAAGTAGGAATTCGGTGAAGGAAAGAAAATGTTGATGATTCTCACTTTAAGAGTGTTGTCATCGATGGGAGTGACTTGAGCTTCTAGATGAAGGGTTTGAGATTCATGGACCGTGTCAATTTTCTGTGGCAGAGGCTATAACATTGAATTATGAGTGATTACATCATTCTGCATTTAATACCTTCACTATGGCAGGAGCTTGCTTTTCTTGCTCTGCTGTCGGCTCAGCTCTCTGCACTGGAGTCTCTAGCTCGCGAATGCGCTGAAGAGAGTTGGGGTGGAAAGAAGCAGCCAACTGAAAATCAAAGAGTTATAAAGTATCATAATAAAACAAAACTACATCTGATCCGTCAATACGGCAATCGATATCAACAGATGATTGAGCTTCACCAGCAGAATTTCTATAATACATTTATAATTTAACATGAACCAGACAGTTCAAAGAAATACCTGACAATCAGAGTGTAAGTGCCAGAATCCTCGGGATAACAATAAAGGATATTGAGTGCAATGTATCCGAAATCTTGAGAGAGCACAAATCGATGTGCTTTCATCAAAGGTCTTCCATTGACTTGCCATTCGTACTGAAATTTTTTTAGTTGAGATTACCAAGCTTTAATTATGTCATTGAAAAAGCTTGTTAGCATAAGCTATTAGTTAGATGTTTGGGCGACAAAGCAAACAACTTTGCTTTGAGTTGTTTCTTCTTTATTCAAAACTATATTAGTTTGCAAATATAGAATATAAACTAACTGTTAAAGAATTATCATCTGTGGGGGTGACTTGAGCTTCCAGATAGACGTTATCTCCTTCAACGCATTTGATTTCAGGACCCAGTGGTTTAACGAATTGTGGAGCCTATATGTTTTGCTATAGATTAGAAAGTTCAAATGAAACAGATTACCTCTTTAGGAAGCTCGGGAACGTCTTGAGCTTTAGGCTTTGGTGCTTCGATCTGTTGAATTCTAGCATAACTCTTAGGATGCTGAACTTGACCAAGAATGGCATCTTTTGCTGAAGAAGGTAAGTTGAGTAATCCCATCTTAGTTTGTGTTTCTTGAGGTTTCTTATGACCTTTGGCCATGTGATTGAAAGGAATCGGTCCATATATAGAAGGTTTTTGGCTCATTTTTTGAATAAATTAAAGAAATTAAGAATAACTAGCGATTAGAACTATAAATTACTTTGATAGAAGTTGAATATGAAACAAAACTACAGTTTGTGTGAAAGCTGGTGTTGCAGGAGAACGAGAGTGAAGGAGAATTTCAGATAGTAGAGGAGGAGTTGCTGGTCATAAGTCGAAAAGACAATAAGATGGTAAAGAAAAGAAAATTGCTATGACGAAGACAGAGAAAAAGGGAAACGTTCATGATCAAACAGAAAAGAAGCTTAGAAGGCACAAGAAGCCATTACGTATTAAGTTACGGAGGCTGAAAACATGAATCAGAAGCTTCACAGATTTTTGATCATGAAGAACATCCTAAAGCCAAACACCTCGATCTTTGACTTTACATTTGATTTGTCTACAGGATTTGATAAGAATACGGAAAAAAAACTTACGTGCACAGCTGACCGTGGTAGATGTCTCAACTGCACCAAGAGCATTCTCAGCTCGGCAAGTATAAGTTCCACTATCTTGAGCATAGAATCCCAGAACATCTAGTGAGACAAAACCGAAGTCATAGAATGTTCGGAAACGATGTCCATTAGGAATAGGAGCACCGTTTCGGAGCCAATGAATTCTCAAAGTGTTATCACTGATTGGTTTAACTTGGCATTCGAGATGAATTGGTTCTCCTTCTTCAACTTCCCCAAAATCACCAGTGAGTGGTACATCGAAGACAGGAGCCATTTCTGGTCCTCGTTCTTCCATGTCAACACGACCGTATTTGTTCTGATTTTCGAGGTAGTTGATTTTACCCAGGGATTCTTCGTGTTGAGTTTGGGAGAGAATAGATCCCTCAGCTGAAAATTTTTAAAATGATCATAGTCATTAGAAAATGAAGAACTCACGTGTAACCACGATGCGACATTGTCGAATGGCTTCACCGAGAGCGTTGCGGGCTCTGACCGAATACTCTCCGGAATCTTCCGAAATAGCTCCCTAAAAAGAAAATAATTATACTGCTGGAGAATTGTTTGATTAACCTTAATGTCGAGAGCAACGAAACCAAACTCATAAAGAGTTTTAACACGACTGCCTGTTGTTATGGGCCGGCCATTCACAAACCATTCAACTTCCATTGTCGGATCATGCACAGGGGTTACACGTAAGTCGAGATGGATATCTTGATGCTCGATCAAGTCCAAGTCTGGGAGATCTCCCAAAAATTTAGGTGAAGAATCACAAGTACGGTCTTCGATTTCAGCTATTCCCTGGCGTCTATCTTGTTCGAGCTCCTGGAAATAATTATGAACCACTCTTTCAATGGACGGATGAAACCTTGATTCTTTCGAGTCCTTCAGGATGATGAGGGTCAAGGAACAGAACTTGGTCGCTACCAACTACCAACTCCAAACTACATTGAGTTTCACCTAATTCGTTTCTAGCAATCAATGTATATGTTCCACTATCTTCCGAATAAGCGTAAAGAATATCTAAGGCTACGTATCCAAAGTCGAACATTGGTCGGAAACGATGAGCTGCAGGTAGAGGAGCTCCGTTATGATACCTGAGAGACCTCCATTATCAATATGAAAAAATGAACTTACCATTCGACAGTCATTTTTACATCATTAGCTGGTTGTACTCGGGCTTCGAAGTGAACAGGTTCGTTCTCTTTCACCTGTAGCTCACTGATAAGCACTCGGATCAGTATTTCTAACAAACCTCGATTTTTGCTGGGAGTGGGCGGACAAATCTTGGTGGCTCAAGTGACTGTGATTCCTCGGGTCTTTCTACAGCTTGAGGTCCGATATGAACCTTAAAAAGGAGCGTTAGATACGGAAAACGTTTTTAAATAATCGAGCCCGCGTGGCCTAATGGATAAGGCGTCTGACTTCTAATCAGAAGATTGTCGGTTCGATCCCGGCCGTGGGCTTCACTTTTTGTTTTAAGGCATACACTTAACTGACCTGATGGCTGTCCAAGTATCCAATTATAGGAAGACTTTCTTCATGTCTTGAGTCAACAACGAGTGGTGCCACTGAGATGGTTGCCAATTCGGCAGATGATTGTGACTGTAACATTTCAAGTTTGATTTATGTTAAAGTTTTCTTATACCTGTCCATGGGCGTTGAATAGAACACAAGTGTATGTTCCAGCATCCTCTGGATATGTTGGATGGAGAGTTAGAGAAACTACACCAAAGTTATGGAAAGTCTATCAAAAAATCAATTTGAATGCGTGGTCTCCACAAAAACTGAACCTGGATTCGATTGGCATTTGGAAGTGAATGTCCATCCTTCAGCCAACTAACTCTCAAGGAAGGGTCGTTAATTGGTTGAATACGAGCTTCAAAGAATGATCTTCCAAGCTCTTGATCGCACTTGAATGGTTGAAGCTAAAAGTAAAAGCTGAATATACAAAACACTGTGTATGAGTGTCTTACTTGAGTTGTGAATTTTGGTGTCAGGTCTTGTTGTGAGTGGTTGAATTGGATTTCTCTTACATCATCCACGTCCAAGTTTTGCTCAGTTTTTTGCAAATCATGTGGTGCTGAAATTGTTGAATGTCAGATATCTCATGTACAAAAAAGGATATACGGTGAACAATCACAGTGGCTTGGTTTTCAGCCTCTCCAAGTTTGTTGATAGCGCGACAAGTGTAAATACCGGAATCTTCCTTACGGGCATTCAGTACATCGAGAGTCGCGAAACCATGATGAAGGGTTTGCAGGAAACGCTCATCTGGACAAAGAATTCCAAATATGACACAAAAACAAATATCTTACTCTTGATGAGCTCTGTTCCATTCAAGTACCAAACTGTTGTTAAGCTTGGATCAGTAATTGGAGTCAGCTTAGTTTCCAAATGGATGTTTTGGCCTTCGAATAATTCGTATGAGCGAAGTTCAGAGTGGAAATTAGGTAAATCTGAAACATGTGTTCACAAAATATGAAAAAAAAAGAATTTTACCTAATTGAACTCCTGATGGTGGTTGAGGGCTTCTGGACTGATAAACAGTTCCGAAGTTATTTCCTAGGGTGGGCTGTTGAACTGAACCATGCCCAATCACGCTAAGTGTTGTTACAGCCCTAGCTTCTCCCAGAGGATTCACAGCTACAACTGTGTATTCTCCCTGGTCGAAAACGGTGACTGGGTTGATCTCAAGTACGGCAATTCCGAAATCGGAAACTGTAACCGTACGAGAGGAGGCAAGAAGAGCTTTTCCATTGTGAAGCCAGGCAATTTTCAAATTTGGATCATCAGATGGAGAAAATTTAAGTTCGAAACGGGCAGTTTGTCCCTCAATGAGATTGAGTGGAGCAATTTGGCCTTCGAATTTGGGTGCAGCCTTCGACTGGGTCGCATCAGGCATTAAGTTTACAGGGGTTCGAGCTTGTCGGCGATCAACTTTTCTCAATGTAATTTGTTCTCTATGAGATGGTCCATTGAATTTTTGTCGACTTTGTACAACAACACGTCCCTAAATGAGATATTTTAGCCAAAGATTGTTTTTCAAAGTTTACTTTAAGAGTTGTTGTGCCATGTTTGTTGCTTGCATCACAGCGATACCAAGCACCTTCACTCAGAGAACAGTTGTTAATGAGTAGTGTTGTTTCAGATGCTTTCGACTCGACTCTGCAGGAAGTAAATTGTAAATAATAATTTGATAATTTTCTCATACTTGAAAGGACCACCGCTGGCCAACTCTTCGTTGTCTTTGTACCATTTGAATGACAGTCCTTCACCCTTAGCTTTACAGTACAATTTTACGGAATCTCCTTCATAAACAGTTGTTGACTGGAACTTTCCGGTGAACTCTGGGGCTTCGGGAGATTTAGCTTCTGGAAAATTATACTTTGTTACAAGCAATCATAAACTTGACACATACGGAGAACATTTAAGGAGAATCTAACTTGGAAAGCTCCTCCAGAGTTTCGGGCAATACATCCATATGTATCAGCGTCATGTGCATCAACTTTCTCAATGATTAACTTGGACGATCCGTCGTTGCTGCCTTCGACACGTCGTTTAGAATCGGTTTGAATGATGCTGCCATCTGATCGAGTCCACTCGATATGGGGATAAGGAACACCAGCTGCCTAAAATAATTTGTTTCTAAAATAAATCCTAGGTGTTCTACCTTGGCGTTGAAAGTAACAGTTTCCCCAGCTTTAGCTGCGATTGACTGAGGCTGAACAAGGAATTGAGGTGGTCGCGATTGCACAAGTGCTGCTCCGTGCTGATGCGTCTTAGAAATTGAAAGATTAAACGTAACAATAGAAAAGTAATACTTTTGAAACTCCTTGAGATGATGGTGCTGCTACCCCATTTGCCTGCTTGTGAACTCCATTGGAGACTCCATTACTGGCTGTTGCTTGCTGATTTCTTGTAGTTGGAGCCATGTTGTAATAATGCTGCTCTCGGCTCTGATTATGTGGTTGATATTCAAAAGACTGTCGTTCTCCAAAACTCTGCTAAATAGAGAAAAGCTTAAGAATATGAGGAACAAAGAAAAAACTTCTTTCTCTACCCATCAAGCATTATCACACCTATTAACTGAAGACTTTCGATCTATCTTTTCTCACCGGAAATTTTACACAAAATTACTTTGATTTCGGACAACTGTCAGCATCCATACAACAGCAAATAATGGCAAAAAAAAAAGTACAAAGAAAAACAAAATTTCACACAATTTTCAATTTTTAATAACAAATCTCGGACGAACCTGCTGAGATGGAGCTGATTGATAGTAATATTGTTGTTGTTGTCTTTGTTGCTGTTGTTGTGATTGTTGGGGAACTTGACGGTAATGCTGCTCTACCGGTCGTCCTCCGTCACGTAAAATATCTTCAAAATGATATATTATTGTTCATGATTATGACAGAACAATCGTACTATAAGATTGAGGAACTTGTTGAGTTGGTTGCTGCTGCTGCCGCCAACTTAATGGTTCCGATTGATGATATTGAAGATGAT